CTGAGAGAAAAGAGAAGTCAAGGTGCAAAACAGTCATGATCTATAAGTGGGCACTTATATCCAGTTAAAGCCAGACTGATTTCCCCCTTGTTGTTGTTCTTGTACGAATAGCAATGGTGGTTCTTGTTCCTATTGCAGTGGTGCAGTGGCAATTTTTGAGGTACAAACTTCATCATAACCTCTATAAATATATTTAAAACACAGTTTCTAGCAGTTTTCATCTGCACCAGGAGAAGATTTTTATAATGCTAATGGGTCTTGTCCACTCAAGACCAAGCCAACCCAGAACTGCTTTGTATTGCAACACTGTTAGCTTGGTGTTGCACAGATTGCAGTTAAAGACAGAGGGAACAGGGGAGTCGAAAGGGGATGGCAGGAGATGTCATAGGCCCCTACTTTTGGCACTTCAATTTTGTGAGCCCTGGTTCCACTAGTCCACTGTTCTCTAGCCAATGGACCAGGCCAGAGAGCTCAGAATATTTGAATGTTTAACTAACAAGAAGGAACTTTAAGAACTGAACCATATTTTGACTCCTCTACAATCAGTTATTTAACACAGATGTAAGTTGAAAGAAAGGTCCAACACACATTGCATAAATAATCCAGTTTGAGAAGGCTTTAACTGCCCTGGTTTATTTTGGCACCAGAGCTCTTCGACAGAGAAGGCTAAATGTCTCACAGAACTACAATTCCCAGAATTCCCTACCATTGAGCCAGCGCAGTTAAAGCGTTCTCAAACTGGATTATTTCTATAGTGTGTTTTGGAACAAACTTAACTTTACACACATTTATTTCTCTATAGGAATAAGATTTTAACATTCTGGATTATCCAAATAGCGAAGCTCAATGTTACAAATATATCCCTTTTCAATTTGCAAGATCAAATTAATAATTAATCAACACAGTGCAAAAATAATTCTGATCCGAAAAAACCCACAAAAAAACAATAATTCTGATCAATCGTGTAATGTGCTTTTATACTTCTGTTTTAAATACCCCCCCTCATTGACTAAAATGGATTTAGCAGTTTGCCACTGAATTTCAGCAGCAAACTGGGAAATTTGGGGGAGGATTGAGGAGCATAGGTGGTATTATTTGTGCAAATTAAACATTCTCCTAGGAGATCTTTAGTGGAGAATAGAAGGGCCAAGAAGTAAAGATGAAGGGGGAAGGAAAGTTGTAGGGATTAACAAGAAAATATTTCTCTCCTTGTTACACTCTGGGCCTGAGGAAGAAGCAAATCCAGTAGAGGATAACTCCATAGGCCAGATTTGATTTATAATCCACATATGTGCAGACCTTCCACATATGTTTCAAAACAGAATGCCATAAAGTAATGGAGCCCATGTTAATGGAACATACACAAAACCAAATCACAACAAAACAGGTTCATATTAAGATTGAGCAGGTGTTATTATCAGGAAGTCAGGGAACAGATACTCTATGCTGAATGGGATTACACTCCCCCTGAAATCTCAGGCTCACAGCTTGGGTGTTCCCCTGGACTCCTCTGAGCCTGGATGCTCAGGCTTCAGCAGTGGCCAGCAGTGCATCTCCACAGTCACTGCACCAGCCAAACCCATTCCTTGAGACCTCAGATCTGGCTATGGTGACACATGCCTTGATTACATCCCATATGGACTAATGTAACACACTCTAAGGGCCTTTGCACTCTCTAGAGCAGTGGTCCCCAACCCCCGGTCCGCGGCCCGGTACCGGTCCGCAGAACAAATGGTACCGGGCCACCCTGCTACTGCGTCTTCTGTGCAGCGGCGGCGGCAGGTCCTGCGAATTTGCGAGTCCTGCGAGTCCCGATAATAAGCGCAGGGATGGGACTCTTGCGTCTGCTGACGTGCCCTGGCCCAGCTGATCAGCGTGGGGGCAGGGCTTCTGTGTGCAGCTTTAGTGAATGATGAGTGACATTCCTGACGCTGTTCAGAGGAGCCGGCAGGGGATGGTGAGCAGGGGAC